ATTTGATCTAACAGGCCTACAGCTGAGCTAAACCCAGCAGTGAGGCCTGCCTGCCTGCTCCCCCTGCTCCATGCCCACTCTAGCATGGATGTATTTAGGAAGCCTGGTAGCTACCTTTACATCACAGCTCAATAGCATCATGTTGCCTGCGAACCTACATGTCAATTCCATGTCACACAGTCCGCGGAGCGAAAAAAGAGGTAGACGTGGTCTGTGATAAAGAGCGAACTGACAGAAAGCAGTGAAATAGAGAGAGAAATGCTAGTAATTTTGGCAGAATGAACCCATGTTGCCAGTCGCTGCAAACGGCGAAACTACACTCTGAGCCTATTTGCAGCCTTTATTACATTATCAATTACAAATTATAAATGTACTCCACACGGTCTGGTTCTCTATGCCTTACTCTATCATGTTGTGCTATCATCACTCAATCTGAGGCCCACACGGGAAGGCTGGGGGGAGCTCTCAGGATCGTAGGTGCCCTCTCGCTGTGGTTCTGGAATGCAGAGCCTGTTTTATTGCTTCTGGCAGTAATTGCACTTACATTTGACGGTCTTTTGTTGAGATAAACCCCACCGCTGGCTCTCTGTTAGCCCCTGCTCCGAGTCAATAGAGTCACAATGCTTTTAAAAATGTGACAACTTACCGACCTTTTACCTTCTTTGTGTATAGTGTGAGGTTAATGGTTTGCTGAAGTGTTTTTTTTTCTTTAATATATAAGGCAACGGTTAAACGCTTGTATTTTTACTCAATGCAACAGCATCTAACTGTCTGCTGCAGTCGTTTACTGGAAGGATCAGAAAGTGTCCGCAGCTGTTTGAAGTCCGTATCTTTGATTGTATATCCTTCCTAAGAATGAGCGGAGCAAGTGTTCATATTGATTTGCACATTAAATATATTAGTAATAAAACAACATCCTGCTGCAAACCAATTGTAAAATCAATAGTAATTGGAACCAAAATATTATGAGTTCTAGGTCTGCAGTCTTATTGTCTCTGTAACTGACCAGTGAAATCCTGTACGTTTGCACACTAAATGTGATAAATATTGATAACAATGTCAAATGAATGTATGGCTGTAATTCTGAGAACCTAAATATAAATTGAATAAACTCTGGAATGATTGCATATGATGGAAAAACAGGAGGGTTTCAAAGCAAGGCAGAGCTGAAGTTGAACAGAAGCTGCTATTGATCTGCAAAAAATGAGAACGCTCGAAAGGGACACACTGATTGAAAATCCTATGATATCACACTTTATATGAATCTGTGCCAAACAATGTAAACATCAGTGAGCATTATATTGTACATTTTTGTTATTGGGTTCCAAGCCTAGCTCTAATTTGACTTATTTTGTATTGGCGAGTGATGATATCTAAAGATAAGTTTTCCAAATATAATAACTTGCTCACATCCCCCCCAGTGAGCAAACAGTGCTAATAAGCAAGTAATAAGCTTCCCTTTAGACAGGCAAAAACTTTTTGAGTATATGAGGCACAAACCAGAAAAAAGTGTAACACTTAACTGGCGTTTCTTATTTTCAGTTTGTATGCAAAACTAAGATGCTTTATGTCTTCAGCATCTGCTTTCTGTCCAGTGGTCACCTACAATTACAATAATGTAGTTTAATGTATAAACTACAGTTTAATGTAGAGAGGCAAACAGCAGCATAGTGCCCCTTAAACAGATTGTTTTGCCCACTTTTTTGTGTGTAATCGCACAAAATAGAACTTTATTTTCTTTAACTGTGCTGATAGTTGGATTTGGGACAAGCTAACTGTTTCTCGTTTCTGTGCTATGCTAGCATAGATGATTGGTGGTAGTAGCTTCATATTAAGTTTTTACATCATTATTTGATGCAGATATTTCGAAAGATAAAAATAGAACTTAGCTGCTGATTTAGTGATCGATCTGTCATCCTATGGCCATGAGCCATCAAGTAGCATAAATGTGCTTTCTCCAGAGGCCGTCTGGGTTCTCCCTGAGATATGGGTGGGGAGTTCAATGGTTGAGGTGGCTTGAGCATTTAAGATGCCTCCTCCGCCTCTCCTAAGTACGGATGCCAAGAGTACCCATCTTACCTAGGAGCGGGAATCTCAACATACCAGGAATTTAGTAGTCTGTACCAATAACAGTAGAGTTAAATGATGCTGGATAAGCAACTTGACGCCATTTAGCTAGAAAAAAAAATCTTACCTTGGAGTAGGATGAGGAGTTCCACCAGCTTAAAAATGCCTCCCACTGATTCTACTGTAGGTATGAATTCCAACCAAACCAATACTTACGATGTTTTTTTAAAACCAAAATTCAGAAAACTTATTTATTTTTTAATTTTATTTTTTATTACTTCCAAAAAGGCAGTAAGAGATTACTTTGGATTGCTATCCTGAAACACGTCACGTTAGCTGGCATTGCTGTTGGCATGTTTCATAGGCTAAAATATTTGCAATGGCTAATAATAAATAAATGCTTAAGCTAATGTGCTATAACTAATGTTATACCTCATAGTAAATCTGTAAGATAATCAGCAACCTTCTAACATCCTGTCAACAGAATATAATGCTAATATTTTTAAATAAATGTTCACAAGACAGTAATTTATTTAATAAATAATTTATGTTTAAAGTACATGGGTTCATCTTTTTTTTCTTATCAAGTTGGTATCAAATTGGGTATCCAGAATCATGTAATCCTGTTGGTATTGATACTGACTGTTAACGTGTTGGTATCGTGGCATTTGTAAGTAAGATGTTTTGGGTTACTGCTGCTGGGTGGAGACCCTGGGAGAGACCCAGAATACGCTGGAGAGATTATAATTTTTGGCTGGTTGGGACTGCCTGTCGCACCAGAATAGCTAGGAGGTTGCTGGGAGAGGGAGGTCTGGTATGCATAGCCTGTGACCTGGACCTGGATAAGCAGCACAAACAGATATACAGATTGATGGACAGATCTTAAAATAAATGTATATTGTGTGCATGATGAGACTGCAGTCCATAGCCCCTGCCTTTCTTGGATTTCTGTGAAAAACCTTAACACCTGCAGATCTATTGTAATATTGTTTCTTGTTAGGACCATTCTAAAGATACAGAAAGAAGGAAGAAAGAATTAATTTTAAAGTTTTAAGTAACTTTTTTGTCCTATATTTATTTCATGTGAGTGCATAGAGAAATAAGTTTCTTTACCTTTAAGATGTAAACAGAGGTACACATTTGTGGAAAGGAACTGAGACACTGCTCCTTTTATAGTCTGGCTTTCCTCTGGTGTGGGATCCCATTGAGCAGGAAAACAAAGCATGAGGTGTGTCTTATTCTCCACAGAGTGCCTCGGGGCCAAGGAGTGAGCTTGCTGCCATCCTGGAGGCTTTGAGTGCTTTATAACAGCATACACAAAGGACTAGCTTCCCACAGCCCAGTCATTAACAAGTGGGCAACGGTGAAGGCAAAGCCGGAGAGGGGATTTCCACTGTCCTGCCACCACACCTGCTTCCACATTCACAGAGTCAGGCTGGTCCAGCATGAAGGATGACTTGTAGTCCGGTGAACTCCAGGGAAAGCAAGCCAGCCCTCTTGTCTTGTTTGTTTGATAATTCGAGAGTTTCTGACAACAGTCCATAGCTTAGAACAGCAAAAACGGCTTAATTCTGCAGCTTTGTCGTTATGACTCCCATCAGAAAACTTAAACAAGAAATATTGATGCCTACAAAATAATTAATATGTAGTTTAGATTTAGTGCCATTGCTCATGTTAGTTTTGTCTAAATATCAGATTTTTTTACCTCAGGATTCAGTACAAATATTTCAAAGGGGAGTAATCCTCCATCCATTAACAATATTATACTATAAAAATATCTAAAAATAATAATAACAATAACAAAACATTAATTTTAAAGTGATCTCTGTTATGTGTATTTATTAAAAGATTTAAACCCACATGCTGGTAAGAAGTAAAAGTGAGTTTCAATGAAACCCACCAGTAAATAATCCCATTAAGGAAAATACAATAAGTGAATTTAAAAAAAAAAAAAAAAAAAAAAAAGAGCATAACCAAAAGTTAGAGAACTGCATAGAAATGAAAAGAGATAAGCAGGGTAAGAGGAAAAACTACAGTCGGGTGAATAGAGGCTGGGAACAAAGATAAACTAATAACTAAAGCAGGAGAGACAAAACTATAAATACACAGAAAACTAGCTGGAAAACAGGACATTGGTGGGAAACCAGCGAGGGACAAGCAAAAAGGGAGGACACAAAGACACACAAGATTAGTAAGTTTAGAATAAAACAGCAAGTAACCCAAAAGAGGAATCGCAGATATAAAACGCAAAACAATCGAGAAACAGTGAAGAAGCAAAGTGGACACTGGCAAAAACCTAACACTAAAGAACACAAAGGAGGAAATACACAGGAACTGCAAATACAACCCAGAAAATCAAATATCTGTTACAGAAAACAATGCATTACCTTTAATAGACATCCTACTGTAACTAGGATTTCTATGTGTGACCCGTGGTAGGTACCTATTTAAAATAGGACAGAGCCGTAGGCGCACAGTCAGTTTAAAAGAGTTTAATTTTTAATACAAAATAAAAGAAACAGTGTAACAGCAGCACCTAAAAACAATTAAAAACGTTACCTTATTAAAAAACGATAAGACTGTACGATTGCCCGTGAGGCAGGACAAGCGCTGCGGAGAACAGTTTAAAAACAAATCAACATAGCACACAGGTTAAAAATGGACGGCAACTCACACATGACCCCAAATGGGTAAAACACTATAGAAAAAAAGGCAAATCTTCGGTGCCGTCTTCACTCGGGCCCCCCGCTGTGCATGCAAGAGCGGGGAGACAAAAAAAGGATTTGTTTTCCCTGCAGCGCCTTCACCGCCTGCGAATCAATATCTGTGGTGCCTACTGATACAGAAAAAGTAAAACAAAAAAACCAAAAACCATCGACAGCCGCAGCAGTCAGTCTGTCGGCTTACACCAGTTTAAAACAAATTAAAACACACGGATGTGTCGGGTCCTTTGCCCGCAGCCAGAAATCCACCTGGCAAAGCAGCAGCTCGGTACTCTGTGAATAAAAGGCAGGAGATCACTAGCTGGACAATAAAACACAGGAATATTCCTCCACTGAATTGGTTTTGTTACCTGTCCACAAGTTCGTGTCACACCCTAATAAATGTGGGTCAGTGGCGATGAAGTCCACTATACCGTTCTCACGGGAGCAATGTTTCCCACCTACAAGGGTGCAAATAACTGTAAACCTCTGCCAACAGCCAGAGCTCAAGTGGTACATTTTTGTGTAACCTACCGTTCTAACAGAAGTTTAGGGGAGGACGCGTATCAGACTTTCATAGTTAAGAAACACCAACTTGCCCAACTCGGACCAAGCACTCGCGGCTTCAGGTTTGCAAAGGAATACCCAATTGCCCACACCTGCGCTTATGAAAGGAGCGAAGACCAGCTCCGCCCACCAGGGGCGGTCCCAAATCTCCAGGTCTCACCTGTCACATATGCTTTGCAACAAAGAAATGATGTTGATGAAACTCACACATCCCCAGTTAGTATTCACCTACCAGTAAGTTAAGTCCCAAAACAAAGCAGGTAATATTTACATGCTGTCACTGACATAACATATCTATTTCTTATTTTATATAAGCCTCACCATATGTCTTTGTTTGCTAGGAAGAACAATTATGTATTGTCTTATCTGGATGTTACCAGGGAAGGGTTACCAGTTCTGCATTTTTACAACACACTGGTTCAGACGAATGGCCTGATTTTCCAACTGTTATTGTTACTTTCACACATTCAGCAGGGCTTTGGCTCTGCACTGTATTCTGTCTCCCTCTCTCGCTGCATAGCTAAAATGGATTCAAGAGATCCAGGCGATGACAGATGAGAGAAAACATTTAATTTCGACCACCCTGGATCAAAGACTGAACCTGCTAATTACTAAGCATGAAGTGTCAGTGGTAGCAGGCACACCCTGGACCAAACTAAATTTTGATGGATGTCAGTTGGGACTCGACTTCAAGTGAAAGTGGATATGTGACATTTACTTACAGAGGCTGCTTGGTGACAAGTCACAGTGTTATGTAAATAGCACACCTGTCCTGTCGTTGATGTGCCCGGCTTATGGAAAAATCTGTCCTTTAGGATAGAAATATTGTATAAGCATAGCATTTTGTACCATCTGTGAGAATATTTCACAAGGGGCTGTGTGAAGATGACAGATTGGGAAATGGGCTAAAGCCGATATTTCATTTGAAAAGCAAAAATACAAAGACACAGCACTGTAGATAGCATCAGTGTGGTCCTTTAAACCTTATCAATGAGCAGAATTAAAAATTTCTATTAAGTGTTACCATTTAATTTTTGAATAAAAGTGCTTTAATTTCACCGAAATGGGAGGCATGAGTCTTAAAACGCTGTGGCGATAATTAATCTAAGCACTAAATACTTACAACTAATCAAAAAGACACAGCTACACTGGGAAAAGGATAATAAACAACCATCCAAACACAAAAAAATACATTCTGATCCTCAATCCGCTTCTCATCATTTTTCATCTCTTGGTAAGTCAAGTGAATATAAAGGAGTATGCTTTTCTTTTTTCCTTTTTTTAACTGTTGTCAAGAAACATATTGCCAGCACTACTCAATCTTCAGCATTCTCTCACTTAGTCAGCCACCACAGTACTTGTGATTAACGCATAATGACCTGCGACCTCTGCGGCGCCGCTCAATTTTACCCATGCTCCGTATAGCTGTAATAACATCTACTAGCGATCTGCTAAGGTATTAAAAAAGACAAATGCTGTCATTGTCCATCATTGTCGCCCTTTGAAACTCAAGCACAATGGCTAACTTTTACAGGTTCATCCCGTCTTTGAGGAATATTGAAATAGGAAACAAAAAAAAAAAAGTGGCACGACAAGATAAATCACAAGACCATCAATTTCATCACAGGTCCCTTCACAGGAAGGCCAGTCAGAGACATTTCACTTGGTAATATTGTGCAATACTCTACAGCACTGACACAGGAGATCAGGAAAAACAAGAATGGGCTTTTTTTTCCACTTTTCTAACCAGTGAAGCTGTATTGGCTTTACTCCATAAACAATGAGGTCTCGTTCCTGTAATGGCTGTTAGGTGCCCTGCTTGTGTCTCTCTAATTACTTTGGTTTCATCAGGTCCTACAGAAATCTGGTGCGGAGGAAAATCCATACTCGATAACAATGAAAAATTCATATTGTTGTTTTTATCCCCCCCACATCCCTCTCTGTCTCTCTTTCTCTCCCTCCACCCTCCTCTCACTCACTCCTATCCTGCTCTCTCTTATTCTGTGATATATTTAAATGTTAATAACCATTCATTCCTGACACCCTATCTACCAAGCCCCAAGTTTAACAGGAAATCTATTTAATCTGAAGAATCTCATTACATGATCATGGCAGCAGCTAAAGCCCTGACTATTGTCGATAGATGGGAGGTAGGAGGGGGAGTGAGAGAGAGAGAAAAGAAGGGCTCGCAGCGAAAGAAGATGGTGCAAAGAGAGAGAAAAAATGAATTCAGGAGTGGATATTTAATTTAATCATTGTGCATGAAGCAACATAAAGGAGCCATAAAGGGTCTTGCTTCTTCCTTCATTTGAGAAGATCATGATTAAATGTTTTCTATTGTGCTGTACATCTGAAAGGTTTAATCATTCCCAGAGCCAAAGAGGAAGAGGGGAGAGAAAAAAGTAAAGAAGTAAAAACATCACATCCCTCGGTGCGTTTGACAGTACTCTAAATATGAACTTCTTTTAAGGCCATTAAAAGATTATCACTGATTTAAACTGCCTGTTCAGAGCATTAGGCACAGAGAGTTCTCCAAAGCCCTTAGAAAACCATTCTCCGGGCTTCTATTATCTCATCCACCCAACACTATTTAATTTCATTTCCATGAATATGCAATGAATTTAATTTTGAACACTATTTTCATCTGCTCCTGTAATCACAAAAAATGCCAGTGTAATTAGTTTCTAATTACTTGGTGTAATTGTTGTAGTAATCATTTTAATTACCCAAATGCACAGACATTAGATGCTAAAAGGAAAATAATCTGCTTGTACCTCCTACTGTGTCTCTCATTCTCCCGAGTTTGATATCTAGATTTTGACATGGGCTGCTTCACAGTCAAAGGCAGAGGCAATAGAGGGCTGCTGCGTGTGGATGTTTTATAGCACTTGATAGGGGGATCGTGTAGCCTACTGTATAGGAGGGATTGTGGAAGAGAGCGGGAGGGAGAGACAGAAGCAGACAGACGGGACCAGACTTACATTGTAGCATCTCTGCAATCTGCTCCGTGGAAATTTGCATGCCCCGAAAAGCCATTAAGTTAAAATATACAGTTATTGTACCTTTCTGGGACCGGCGCCATACAAATGCTTATTGCATGTGCTTATAGCTCAGTCTACCAGATGGTAAATCATGAAATTTTATGAAATTATTGCACCAGTGAGGTGTTTTGAAAAGGAGCAGCTGTGAGGGAGATGGGACATTATAAACACTCACAGGTGTTCTGTCTTTCCCCACCGCCAGCCACAACATAAAAAATTAAATTATAAACAAACCAGCAAATGTTGTAATCTCCTTCACAGATACACTACTTACAAGAGAAATTGCCTAAACTAAGCAAAGAATTTAATTTTAATTTGCATAAAATATTTATTGTGGCTAAGAAATTTCATAACGAGACCTGCTCGTATGCCAAGTTTGGAAATTGCCGAAATGTACATTCCACTAGCATCTCAGTGCCACGGATGAAGATCCATTAGGGAAGGCTCTAATGGGCACTTCACCCAAGCACATATGGGCAAGTACACCTAATAAGAGGGAGCTGGTCAGTGCCAAACACCACAGCAAGCTTGTGTTTCTCATTAAGATTTTATTCCTTCCTTAGTATTTAATTAGCCAGTCTAGCACAGGGAGCAAGCGAGATAGCTTCACATCCACTATGGTGGCACCAAGTCTCCAAGATGTAAACTGGAGGTCTCCTGCTCCCCAGCTTACAAGAAGTATATTACACGAGTACTTGTTGCTTGGAATGGAGTCAGACTCTCTGCAGAAGCACTGGAGCTCCGAGGTGCAGGCTTGGCTTCGTTCAAATCAGCTCATCGCTTGCATGCAGAGGCATCATCGCTTAGCGCTCAAGTGGGAGTTGGGTCAATTGCTATGCTGACATACTCATCAAGGCATGACCTTAATAAACCAGAAATGATCGCAGCACAAAACTGGCACGGCTGGCAAAACCTTTATTGGTATGACACATTTGAGCAAAGTCATTTTATATTAAAGTTATTGTGATGTTTTTTATTGTATGTTGAAAGAATGGCAAGCTATAGCTTCACATGAGATAACCTGTTGAGTTTTGTAGCTTCATAAATACTATTCCAACATAAGACCACTATTATTCTTACATATAAACTTTCCACTGAAATGTCAGAGTACTTATTTAATCGTTATTTAGCTAATTATTATTAATGGAAGTCATCCTCAACTGTGCTTAGAGTAGCATCTTGTCATGTGTTGTACTTTTGGGTTATTTCTCCATTGTTTACCCAATAAATATTGTATTTATTGTGTATGACAGGGCCTGTAACATATTTAAATGAGATGCATGCGTATTCTGTCTCTGAAAAGAGGCTGGTGCCTAGACACGGACTTGTGCTGCAAGGGTAGCTGGGATAGTCATGCATATTCAAATCTACTGCTGGACATGGCTGCCCTAAATAGGCGAAGAGCGTGCAACACTCAAGGGTGGTTTGTTTTCCATGTGTTCTTTTTTCCCCCCCCTTCTTCTTTCAAGCACCTCCAGCACATACTGATCAAGGCCCTTCTAGGCATTTATCTCACATTAGCTGTAGGCACTTCATGTCCCTGGTACCCATCAACATCACAGCTGAATGGAGCAGTGCATGAAAATCAAAGTCATCTATCTTTTATAAACAAATATTAATACATTATTCTTATATGAGCCGATACACCCTGAATTGATGGGAACATCACCCAAATATTCAATGTCCTCCTCCCCTCACTGTCACCCACGGAGAATTTATCACAGACATCACACTACTTGTGCCAAGAGTCATCTCTCAGTTATTCTCAGTCGTATTGAAACCGATATCTATCTATCTATCTATCTATCTATCTATCTATCTATCTATCTATCTATCTATCTATCTATCTATCTATCTATCTATCTATCTATCTATCTATCTATCTATCTATCTATCTATCTATCTATCTATCTAAAATCAAGGGACAACAAAACAAAGCAGAGATTAAGGTTTAACTGAGTCTAGCATCAAATTATTACTTCAGACAAATCCAAACCAACCAAACCGGAATGA